CACACACACACACACACACACACACACACACCCGCACGCACGCATGTACCCTCCCTCTCTCTCTCTCCCCCCCAGTCTAAAAACAATAATACCTTGGAAGAGTAGAGCACACAGAGGACCCAGGGCTTGATTTCTAAATACCAATCTTCCCTAAAAGAAACAGTAGTTCCACCAGACGTGATACAGCACACCGATAATCTCAGCACTGGGAAGGCAAAGGCAGGAAGATCTCTGTGAGTTCGAGTCCAGCCTGGTCTACAGAGAGAGTTCCAGAACAGCCAGGTCTATTTAGATAGACCTTGCCAAATATATGCCAAATGGAGTCAATGGAATATAACTCTACTGAATAAATAAAAATCCAAGCACACCTAGACAGAAACAAATTATACATAAGAATCCTGCGCTTCCTGCCAGCACTCTGGCCATGAGCAGAGTACATGAGCTGTGCTATGTGAGGACGGCCTCCGTCCTCCCGGCTAACCTAGTTTGTCAGTACACTCTGAAATTCACATCATGAGGAAATCACTACACGTTTCTCAGAACAACTCATTGTCACTCTTATTATTATCTACTAATTAAATGGATGAATAAATTAATATAACAGGGTGACTACAACTTAGAATGTAAAAATATGCTAGAATTAGAAAAAGGCCATTCAACAATCATGTCAGTAAAAACCATTTCGAGTAAGAATGAATTGAACTCTAAAAGCACAGGGAAAATTAAAATGGAATATTTATAAAATCTCAGGGTTTCTAACAAGAATCTGTAAAATACGTATTTCCTTAAAAGAGAAAACATAGTAACTTTATATTATAGGAACCCGGCAGATCTCATCTTACCCAAGTAACTAAAGTTCACATCAAGAGTCAGAGAACAAACAGGATGTTTCTGAAACAAGGCACTGAAATATCAATTCTAGGGTACTGCACAAAACAAGTCTAAATCTCCCCTCTGTCTGTCTGTCATGTGCAAGTGTGCCATGGCATACACATGGGTCAGAGGACAATTTATTAAGAGTCTGGTCTCTCCTTGCCCCCATCCTGGGGACCAAACTCAGGTTGTCCAGCTTGGCGGTAAGCATCTTTAGCCACTGACCCACCTCAAGGCCCACAAATCTGATGTTTTTGGTTTTTGAGACAGGATTTCTCTGTGTAGTTCTGGTTGTCCTGGAACTCACTCTGTAGAGCGGGCTAGCTTCAAATGCAGAGATCCACCTGCCTCCACCTCCCGAGTGGAGGGATTCTCTTCAGAACCTCTAAATCTTTTGCCTTTCACAAATCTGAATTTTATCATGAGAAACTGTGATGGTTTGAAAGAAAATGGCCCCCAAAGGAAGTGGCACTACTTAGGAGGTGTGGCCTTGTGGGAGGAAGTGTGTCACTGCGGAGGTAGGCTTTGAAGTCTCATATATGTTCAAGCCTCTCCTAGTGTCTCAGATCACTTCCTGTTGCCTACCTACCAAGATATAAAACTGTCAGCTCCTTCTCCAGCATCACATCTGCCTGCAGCCACCATTCCCACTATGATGATAATGGACTAAACCTCTGAAACTGTAAGCCAGCCCCAATTAAATGTTTTCCTTAATATGAGTTGTCATGGTCATGGGTGTCTCTTCACAGCAATAGAAATCCTAAGATGGAAACTATCAAGCAGATTTAAATTAAGGGGCATTCTACAAATGGTCAACAATCTTTAAAACTGCCCAAGGGCAGGACTGGCAGGAACTGTTTCAGACTAATGGATTCTAAAGAGGCATGCAGCAAATTCAGTAGGTAATCTATTGTTAGATGCTACACTAGAAAACAATGGTCTTTCTTTTAGACAGTGGCTGAAGAAGAAAATTTACCTAGGTACTTTAGCATTAGTGTTCCATTGCTGCTAAGTGTAGATCTAACTTCTTCACCCTGACATACCTAACAAATCTGAAGCATACAGAGAATAGTAAAATTGGCGTTTCCCTATTAGCACTTCAATACTTACCACAGCATCAAAGCGGTTATGATACATCTCTCCCTGACTCTGCTCAATGTAGCGTTTTTTCGCATAAATAAAAGCAGGTATTCCTCCATACGCCCAGCCAATGATGCCTGCTGAAACAGCTGCCCTGACGATATAGTCAACTTCCTTTGGAATTTTCTCTTGTTCGCTAAAACCCAAAAAAGAAAATACTGTTTGGACGTTATTCAAAATACTGTGTTCCAAATTATCCCAAATGCTGGTACCACACTCTCAGAACAGATGAAATGCTGCTGTGAGTTCCATAGCAGCTACAAAAGGGCAGCACAGGTCAGGTGTAACCGTGGACACTGCCATTACAGCACTCAGGAGGCTGGGGGAGGGGGAGGCAGGAGTTGGAAGCCAGCCTTTGCTACATAATGAAACCCTGATCCAAAACAGAAACAGCAACACACATATGTCTTAAACAAATGCACTCTATGCTACTAGAAAACTAGGATAGTAACTGCCCTTGGAGGAAAGGGCACAAGGGGGAGCTCCTGGGATACAGGTAACAATTTCTGGTGTTGCTTGCAGACATGCTCATCTATGAAAACTCATTAACAAGCACACTTTGGTATATTTCTAATACTTCCATTTTTAAATTCTAAGCTAATAAACGCCACATGAACTTGAGATTTTTTTATTTATTATTACATATACAGTGTTCTGCCTGCAGGCCAGAAGAGGGCGCCAGACCTCATTACAGATGGTTGTGAGCCACCACAGGGTTACTGGGAATTGAATTCGGGACCTCTGGAAGAGCAACCTGTGCTCTTAACCTCCGAGCCATCTTTCCTACTTAATTCATGAGATTTTTTTTTTTTTTGGTTTTTATATTTTTAGTTTTTCGAGACAGGGTTTCTCTGTGGTTTTGGAGCCTGTCCTGGAACTAGCTCTTGTAGACCAGGCTGGTCTCGAACTCACAGAGATTCACCTGCCTCTGCCTCCCAAGTGCTGGGAAATTCATGAGATTTTTAAGAGCAAGACATAAAATATGAATTTTAAACATCTGGAATGTGAATTCTAAAGATGTTAAAGCCCAGAGGCCGTAGCGATGGCTCAACGGGTAAGAGAACTTGCAGAGGACTCTGGTTCAGTTCCCAGCACCCAACTGGGACATCAGACTCTCCTCGCCCCCTTGGCGATGAAGCACCTGCACAGTGCACACACATACATGCAAACATTCAAACACATGAATAAAAAAAATGAATGAATGAATGAATGAATGAATAAATAAATCTCTTTTTTAAGAAAAAAAAGTCAAAATCCTTACTAAACACTGGCTTTATGATACACTCAGACAGGCACTATACCGAGCACTGGAAGCCATCACAATGGCCCCAGGCTATACTCATGAGTTCCAGGCCCGCCTGAAGAGCACAGTGAGAGTCAACTCTTTATTGAGACAGCATCTCACATTGCCTGGGAACTCCTGACCATCCCACCTTCACCTCAGGGGATAGTACTGCAGGCTCGGGCCTCCACGCCTAGCTTTAAAATCATACAAGGGAAAAAAGTCCTGAGAAAATTCACCATGCAGTAGGCAGCACAGGGTCAATCTAAAGTAAGGAAGAGCAGTTTAATTCATGTTATGCCTCTCGAATACATAAAAACTAGACCTTTGTTTCCAGGATGGACTCTTGAAAACAGCTAAACAATATGGTACTGCTGCAGTGACCCTCCTAAGGGAACCATTAGATGACAAGCTTTCTTCTGAAAGTGTGTGACCCTAATTCTCAATCACTACGCTCTGCCTTCATGCACAAAAGAAGTTAAAACTCTTTAGGAAACAAATCCTTAAATTCACATTAATAGGAAAACTGCCATAATTTAAATTTTACATTAAACAGAACTTTAAAGTCATCTACAGAACCCTTGCCTGCTGACTTGCAACTACAGGTAAACTCCACTTTCACGGAGCTCCGATGCCTCTGTGCACATACCACAGAAGGAACGTACATATAAAAATGCAGGTGGGAACCCGGGGTGGCGAGGAAAGAGAGAGCAGAGAAGGGAGGGAGAACAGCTGTCACTGTTTCTAGTTCCTAGTGCAAAATCGAAATTGACCATTCTCTCTGCCCCTCCCCAGTTCCCACTTTTAGTATATAGGGCCACTACTGGTCAAGAAAGATCAAAGTCTGAGACCAAATGAAATATGAAAAAGAATGTTAGTGTGGACTTATAAATATAGTTCCTAGTGATTACCATATGACAATAACAGGGGTGGTCCGATTTTTCTAATATAGACAATTAGGGTACGATGCTGTTTTAAGAGCGTGACTTTGAATGAGTGTGCCTCAAACACAGCGTGCCAACCACGCGCGGAAGGACACTACGAGCAGGGCAGAGAACGTCAGCGTCGTCACCAGGCCCACGAGCCGCGGCCGGCGCCCCCAGTCACCCTCCCCACACACCCGAGGCCTTTTTACTCTTTGGCAAACAGCTGCCGGAGGCGGTCCCATCCAGATTCCGGGGAACCGGGTTCGGAAACGCGAGAGTGCGCCTCCCGATCCTCCGCAAAGCCTTGGGAATCCGCAGCCACAGCGCCGGCAGCAAAGACTCGGGGAAAGGGACCCCAGGCCCGGCACAGGAGGCTGCGGGGCGCGGGCGGCGGGACCTCCATGGCGCCCCCCAAGCCCACGGACAGGCACCCTGCGGCCGGCGAGCACCGTGGGCGACGGTGACCTGCACAGCGGAGCAGGACGAAATTCGGGAAACCGGACCTCACATCCGGCCCCAGGTCGGCTCACTCGGAAGCACGAGACCGGAAGTCCCGCCCCTAGCGGTGCAAAAGGCCGAGGGGAGGGACGAGGGCGGAACCCTGGGTGAAAGCTCTTCCGCTCAGGGGAGGGTGTGTGACGGTCGTGCCCCGGAAGTGAGTTGGCGGCGGCGGTATCTTTTCAATGAGATGCTAAGGTCTTTGCGCCCAGTAGCTCGGGTCTACTGGGTCAGTTGGTCTGGGCGGGCTCCGCTCAGCCTAAGATGCTCACGGAGTTAAGTGAGGTGACTCGTTTAAGATGCAGAAAGCCCACGCAGAAGGCGACAGTACTTTATGCAGTGCAAGTAGCGTGCGGAAAGAGAGAGGCGATGTGCAAAAGCCCAAGCTTCACCAAGCTTCTCTGGTGGACCGAGCCGAGTTCACCCTTGCCCTGGCATTAGGGGCAGCCGTATAGCTCCAAGAGCTGAGAAGGCTTTTTGAAGCATCAGCTGTGGGCATTTTTTTTTTATAGCGTGGGTCCCGCTACAAGTATTCATAGGCTTATTACTCTGAGAGGGCAAAAGATCTAGAATTTTAATCGCTTAATAACTGGAACTATTATTTCCTGTTACCTTCTGCTAAGAACATGTGCTTCGAAGTCTAGCTTTCATTGCAAGGCCCTCTCATTGGACGAAGCGTCCCAAGACTGGAATTTAAGCCTTTAGGAATTGGTGCAGGAGTCCTGATTTGGCCATACATGATGAGGCCGACCAGCCCGGGCTTCACAAGACCACAGCATGGTTCCCAGCACTTATATCAGGAATTATCACAACCACCTGTACTCCAGTTCCAGCGTACCATACCAGTTCAGGACTCCCGAGGGCGCACCCGCACATTTTCTTTTTTCAAATGTAAATTGTTCTCTATTCGCATATACACCTAAAGGCCAGAAGAGGGCATCAGGTCCCACTACAGATGACTGTAAACCACTTTCATGGTGGTTCAAAGTGGTTCATGGGAATCGAACTGGGGGACTTCTGGAAAAAATGTCGATGCTCTTAACAGCATGCTGAACCGTCTCTCCAGCCCCTACTCTTTTTTTTTTTTTTTAAAGCAAACCGCCAAGGCAAAAACAAGAAGTTCACCAAGGTAAAATATTCCCAGTTGGTTTGTGTAATATATAATCCTCGGCAGTTAGCACGTATCCCATATTCTTTGCTAACTCCTTCACCTACTTCCTTCTCTTCTAGTTAAAGTACCCGACTGGATACACAGCTCAGTGGTGCTCTGCAGCCACCTCCATAGTGCACTGATTAATGAATGAGGAACTTTCACAAGGAGATCTATGTATATATAGTAAGTAGGATTTGGGGAGCCGACTGTGGGACACCTCTAAGATGAGGGCCAGAGAAGGGCCTTAGATGAAACACCTGTCAACACTTTCTGCAGTGTCTTCATTTCCTGTTTGCTGAGTTCTCACAAGAGGACTGCGCTGAACATTCATCTCTGGCCTTCTGGATCACCACCAATCTGTGTTTAACCCGAAGTAGCTGTTATTTCCACCACCACCCCCATTTCTCTGTGTAGCCTTGGCTGTTCTATACCTTGCTCTATAGACCAGGCTGGCCTCAAACTCAGAGATCTGCCTGCTTCAAGTAATTATCTGTTGAATAAAGAATTGAGATCCTAATACCTGGCTCTAGTTTGCACCTGTTTGGTCCCCCTCCCCCCCCTTTTTTTTTCAAAGGTGGGCACTGGGGCTAAGGTCATAAGGCTGGTAAGACCAACAAATGGTTGTATTGCCTGTCTGCCTGACCTGAAGGAAAAGCTGAGTGTTCTCATTTATCTGCCATTCCATTCTTGAGGTCTTGGGATTGATCCTCAGATCTGGAGCTAGAGTCATTCTGGAATCAGGGTAGCCTCCGAAAGGGGACAGGGCAAAGGCTGGACAGACATTGACAAAATCATTTACATATAACTCAATTATCCCCAGGATCCTGTGCCCTGTAGACAGACACAAATGATAACAGATACATTTCACTAACCCTACAGACTGATTTTGCTGTATTAGGCGGTACTGGGAACTGAATCTATGCCAGGCAAGTGCTCTGCCGCTCAACTATTTTCCAGCCTCAACGATTCATTTGTAAAGTTGCCTTTGCTACCTCGGACCTTGGCTTCTGCTCCCCGTTCCTGCTCTTGCTCATCTCTCTCCAACTCTCTTACTCGGTCAGCCTCCCATATTTCCCAGGCCATCAGAGCTTACCTTCTTGTACCACAGGAAAGTACTCTGCCTCTCCTGTACTCTGATCATTCTGAAGGGTTTCAAAGTCACAAGGTTGTCGTGGGGGAGTGATCAAAGCACACTTTAACGCCATCAGTGACAGATCTCAATCATCACTGCTTGGAACCAACCACTCCTTGTTCCCCAGCCCATGGAGCTGAATTCTAAACCCAACAGCTTTTCCTGTTGTCAGTTTTCTCTTGGGTCAGCAGATTCCCTTGGGCAGGTTCACCAAGTACAACTCTTAGAAAACACATTATATTTGGTTATACCTTTTCCACAGTAGAGAGGATGAACTTTTCTGAGGAGAAAATGGTAAGTTTGGAGCTGAGCTAGCATGAACGATAACAAAATCTCCCCAAGTATGAGCACACGAACTATTTCCAAAAGCATTCACTTTACACATACAACAGTGTTACACGTCATTCTCAAACCATCTGCACTGAGGTACACAGAACAGTATAAAACCCAAGGGACTTTTGTTGTTTTCAAAACAAAGATACCCCTTGCTACTCAAGAGGGCAAGAGACGATCTGTATTGATCCATTTCTTCCAATGCATCTCATCCTCTCCGCAGTCAGTAACCGAGCAATTTAAAAATAGAATTTAGTTAAGTCAGGTGACTGTGTCAGTCCATCCCCCACTCACCCGTCCCCCCACGGTTCTTCAGTAACTGTTCTGTGTGAGGCACTGTGCTAGATAATGGGGACATCAAGAGCAGCGAAACATCGTTCTCACCATCAATAAGCTTACGGAATAGCGGAAGAAACAGCCAAGTAACTGCACCGCAGCGTGACAGCGGATCATACAGGCACGAGCAGACTGTTACAATAGTCCCTAGCAACCAAGAATGAAGCCCAGAGAGGTGATGTCGGAAGTGGTAACTTGAACTAACTGTCCACACATGTGTTTCAGAAGGGACATAAGGAAGTACTCCAATGATGATTTACACTAAAATACCTCTTGTAGGAGTAAAAATGACAGCTATAAGTGCTCTATGAATTGACACTTCATGATGTGTTCACATATGAAGATCATTGTCTCTGCAAACTGAGATGGTCCTGCTGCTGCTAACTTAAGAAGGCAAAATCAAAGGTGTGCAAAAGGTTAGTTAAGAGTTTATGAGACAGGCCCTTGTGTAGCCAGACTGTCCTTGAACCCTTGTGTAGCTGATGGTGGCCATGAACTCCTCCTCCGGCCTCTACTTCAGAAGTGTCAGTATAACAGGGACATTGTTTCGTTTTGTTTTTTTTAACAAGACTGCTTCCTAAATGTATTAAGAGATCTCTCTCCTTGTCTCTCTCCTTTAGAGAGAGAATAAAAAGGGCATGAAGGCACAAAATGGGCACTTGAAACCCCACTGCAGAACTTACTCATGCAATTGAAGCATTATAGAAACCTCCTGAGGGCCAAAGAATTTATGCTTCTATAAAAGAGAACGCCAACAGCGCTGCACGGCACAGCCATTGCTTCCTTCGACTCTTCAGGAAATGGTCACTGCGGTACTTTTCACAAACACCATAGGATTTCTACATTAAAATAAAGCAACAGACATCAAGCCTAGAATAACTTCAAAGTTGCAAATATGAATTATACCAAACGATGGATGGTCTGCTCCAAATAACAGGACAAAGGGTGTCTTCACACGGAGCCAGTCAGTTTCACAGTGAGGATACATGGAGATGACCTGAGGCACACGCTGTGATTGGTCATGAGAAAAATGAAAGTTGGAATGCAGTTCCAAATCCGTCTTTCATGATTTCGGAGAGCTGTTCATCACGCACATTTTAGATCGTTCTTGTTACTCCCTTCGGATACAACATGATAAGGAAAACTAGAAGTTTGGCTTGGCCAAAGGTGTTCAAAGTCTAGCTGTCACGCTCATGATACACATGTCACCACAGAACGTCACAGATCCACTGTCAAGGTTCCGGCCCTCCAATGATGACTACAGTTCAGTTTTCAGAAGTCTGGGAATGATCTGACCATACTCTTTCCTTCGTGTTACATTATAGGACAGGAACTTGGAGTATTCAGTCAAGAGGTTCTCCCAGTAACAGGTGATGTCGTCCATCTGCAAATGGTGGATGATGAACCTGCTTCCCCTAGAGATAAGATTAACAAGAGCATTTTACATCACAGGCTTTAAAAATAACAAGCCTACAAATGGTTAGGCTGCTTTATCATGAGCCTTGTTCTGCGCATGCTGTTTGATTTAACTCACCTGCACCTCACAAGCAACCCTGTAACTGTACTATCCCTATGTATGTATTTAGCAATAGAACTTAATGTTTGTTTCCAAAAACAAGCATTATTACCAGCCAATATTCATTATAAACACTTAAGTTTGTCGTTGTTGTTTTGTCTTGGTGTGATTTGGAGTTTTGAGATGTCTTACTTTTTACTTCAGGATAGCCTAAAATTCACTTCACAGCCTAGGCTGGCCTGGAACTCAAAGCAGTTCTCTTGACTAAGTCTCTCCGTTGCTGGGGTTACAGGTGTGAGTCATCACGCTCAGCTAAAAACATCTGTCTTAGTTCCTCAAAGACTGAGGTCTGGGGCTTGGAGAGAGGGTGCAGTGGTTAAGGGTGTACTGCTCTGGCAAAGGACCAGCTCATACTGCTTTATCTCCAGCGCCAGGGGGCTGATGCCTCTGACCTCCTGGGCACCAGCCCTGATGTGCACATACCCAGACACAGACAAAACAGACATACAATTTAAAAGTAAAATGAATCGTAAAAGACTGAAATCTATTTGTATAAAACAGGGAGCAAAGCTGGGCGGTGGTGGCGCACGCCTTTAATCCCAGTACTCGGGAGGCAGAAGCAGGTGGATCTCTGTGAGTTCAAGACCAGCCAGGTCTACAAGAGCTAGTTCCAGGACAGGCTCCAAAGCCGCAGAGAAACCCTGTCTCGAAAAACAAAACAAAACAAAACAAAAAAACAAAAAAACAAAAAAAAAAAACAAAACAGGGAGCAATTGTGGACTGTGTATCTGGCTCCAGGACAGCTTTAACTCTGGGTTACCATTGTAATGAAGCTCAGGTATGGACATTATCATGTAACTCTATTTGGAAAGCTTTAGGACAGATGAGGACAAAAAAGGACAAATGAATAGAGCTTACCTTTTAGCAATTTCCTGAGCAATATCATCATTTGCTTTTACAAATTCCAACAGCTCCCTGAAATGACAAGAACCATGACACTGTAGAGGCTGGGGAGATGGCTCTGCTGCTAGCGCGTTTGCCACGCAAGCACAGGGACCCGTGTTCAACAACACTACCACGGAAGAAGCCTAGAATGGTGGCTTGTACTTTTGATTCCTGTGCTAGTAAGGTGGAGACCAGTGGATCCCTGGAGCTTGTGGTCAGCCAGCCAATTCAAATAAGCGAGCACAAGGTCCCAGCAAGAGATTCTGTCTCAAAGAGAACAAAAGGTTTGGCCTCTGAAGAACAATATCTAAGGTTGACCTCTGGTCTTTATACACACATGAACAAACACACATGCACCACACACACATCTTGAGCTTTTAAAATATAAACCACACTCATAATAGCAAGTAAGAAAGACAATAGATAAATCTGTAGATAAGTAGGTTGTAGATGATTTCTTTAAAACAAAGCTATCAGCGTGCCTGCCTAAAGAGCTAAAGTAACAGCAAAGATAAAACCTCAATATACAAAACCAGGAATGATGGAGCATGGTATATGCTGATAATCCCAGTACACGGGAGGCAGAAGCAGGAGGATCAGGAGTTCAAGGCCACCCCAACTATATAGCAAATTTGAAGACAGCCTGAGTTACATAAAATGGTATCTCAAAAAATACAAAAGACAAAGGGAAAAAAATACAAGTTAAAGTAAGATTGTTACAATAATCATAATAAACCAAGTATAATAAATAATTTCTAGCCGGGAGGTGATGGTGCACACTTTTAATCCCAGCACTAGGAAGGCAGAGGCAGACGGGTCTCTGTGAGTTCGAGGCCAGCCTGATCTATATGAGCTAGTTCCAGGACAGGCTCCAAAGCTACAAAGAAACCCTGTCTCAAAAAAACAAAAAAGAGAACAAAAAAACAAAACAAAAAAAAGAGAACAAAAAACAAAAAAACCATTTCTGGGGCCAGAAAAACGGCTCAGCAGGTGGCGGCAGCAGCCCGACAAGACAAGTCCACCCTGGAACCCATCTGAAAACTGGCTGTGGTGGCAATCTTGTTATCTCAGCAGGAGGCAGGGACAGGAGAGTCACCAAGAAGCCCGAGAGCCAGTCAGCCTGGAGTGTACATCACAGTTGCCGGGACAAGCAGAAGGCAAGACCAGACTCCTGGAGTTATTCTCTGACGACTACATATACAATGGCAAGTGCGTATGCTCGCTGACAAGTGTTTCCCCCCACATACACACACACACACACACACACAAATAAATAAAAATATTTAATTTCCAACTTGCTCTCCAAATTCTTGTTCTAGCCAGAGGAGGGAACTGGTTCCCATTCCTGGCCCTTCTCCACATCTTTCTGTCTCCCACATGAAAGACTCTGCTAAGGCTTCACTAACCGACAACATAACAAGGCCAAATCTATCTTCAGTTGTTGAAAGAGCAAAGCCTCTCACTTCACGTACACATTACGTTAGAATCAGCACTGTGAATTAAAGAACTTTTCAAGTTCAATCCCATGTATCCTCTACCTGGATAATACACAGCAGTATACAGTGTGTGTGTGGGGGGGGGGGGGATTTCACCGAAAAATGAAATCATCCTGAGGAAATGCCTTAAGTAGTCACTTAAGAGACTGAGGAGCAAATGGCCATAGGAAACTGTAGTTGGGAGGTGAGTGCTTACTGGACATTGGAGAGGTCTGTCTTGACTGGGATGTAGTGAACCCATGGCTTTAACTGTGGGTAGAAGAATTCAACCCACTCATCACCAACATGGAAGACCAGCGAACCACACAAGAAGAGATGCTTGAACCGGAAACTTGCAGCTACACCTCGGAAATTAAACAGATACCTGAGAAAGAGAAGACAACACACTTCACTTTCCGCAGCTACGGCCTCAAACCCCACACCATTCCCTCACTCCTGCTCTGCTCTTAGGATCTCCCTCCTTCCCTTTTGTAATTCGTTCCCTTTTTGAGTTAGTTCCTTTTTACTTAGTTGTCACCTTGACACCAACTAGAATCACTTGGGAAGGACTCAGTCTCCACTATCAGTTCACCTATAGGCAAGTCAGTAGGGGTGGTTCCTCGATTAGTGATTGGCATGGGAGAGCCCAGCTCATGGGGGTGATGCCACCCGTGGGCAGGATGTTCCGGATCATATAAGGAAGCAGGCTTAGCAGGCCATAGGCAACAATCCAGTAATCAGTACTCCTCTGTGGCCTCTGCTTCAGTACCTGGCTCCAGGTTCCTACCTTGAGTTCCTGCCCTGAATCCCCTGGATGATGGACTGCAGGCTAGAAACTGAAATAAAGCCTTTCTCCTCAAGTGCTTTTTGGTCATGGTATTTTACTACAGTAATAGAAACCCTAACTAACCGTAGGCCGGGAGGGTGGCGCACACCTTTAATCCCAGCACTTGGGAGGCAGAGGCAGGCGGATCTCTGTGAGTTCGAGACCAGCCTGGTCTACAAGAGATAGTTCCAGGACAGGCTCCAAAACCACAGAGAAACCCTGTCTTGAAAAA